TGGCAAACATCACTACAGAGCATGCCTAAACATTTCCAATGCACAGCTTTTTTCACGATGCTCCTTCACTATCTCAGGAAGCCAATGAGCCAGCTAATGCAGGCTCGGGTGGGGGGGGTTGAGGTGTGGTGGGGCAATCCACTTTCCCAGGTAGAGTCAGCAGAGCATCTAACAGATTCCTCACCCTACATATATTTTCATTTTCACGTCGGTGGATTGCTTTCCCATCGCTGCTGTCTTGACTTCTTTTAACTTCACTTCATCATTCCACATGCCCATAAAAAAGGTTCATTTCCTTTGCCCCATTTCCCTAAAGGTGGGTCTAGCAATACTTCCCTCTGTAAGATGCACTGCAGCTTTTCCTATCAAACACATATGGGTCTGATGGTGCTTACATACAGTTATGACCCAACAAAGTCAACTCATGATGTCAAAGCGCTGACTTGAGAAACACGTCCAATGCTGCAGAGGCATGTCGTAAAACATGATGATGGTGCACGGGCGTGGTGATCGTGAATGTCATTTAAGGAAGCTAATGACCGCTGTCTGTTTGAAAGGGAGATCGATACGGTAATGAGCAGATGGAGGCAAAGGCGTAATCACCGAAAGCCCAGCGGTGCTGATATCCACAGAATAAAATAGAGATGGGTCCTGGATGGCGGCAGGCTGACTGACACATTCAGTGAGACGCTCTCTCGCTACATCTTACTGATTTTAATGACGTGGCCTTAATGTCAAAAGAGATCTCTTCCTTAACACTTTCTCGGTTTTTCTCTTTCAGTGCCGATTCTCACGTCCTCACTGTATTCTGTCTAAATATCTGACAATTTGGCAAGAACACCTGATGTGGTGCTAGACCTATACACAGGAGTTCTTGATATTTAACCTCTATTATCACATATTAAGAGGTATGGGTTATACTGATTAATGTGAGGGATTAGTATAGCGTTTAATGGAGAGTTGAGATGTAGCACACACATTACTGGAGCTCATGCCCAGTGGATTTAAATGGAATTTCATTAAAGCTAAACGAAAGAATGATGACTTTTACAACTCCCACTGGCAGCATTTTTATAGGCAGACATTTCACACTAATGACTTGAATATGAAATAGTGACCCCATCGCACTAAGCACAGTTTGAGTAAATTGGGCTCACTGGTAAAATAACCTTCACCGCAGTGACTGTTTAATCTGTTGTTAGAGCTTCTTACAGCACGGGATCTTACAGTTCTCTGCCTCGGGACCAGGAGCAAGAACTTTAGTCTCTGCCCTCGCACCCAAGCTAATTTGAACATATTGGTAGTCTAGTTTTGTGATTAGTCAACAACAGCAGGCCTGTGACCCAGTTATTGGACAACTCTCTGCTCTATCCTTACAGGTATTTCACAAGTTGAGCAACAATAGGAAATAATGCATGCATAATTCATCTCCGTACACCAAATGTTTCCTAACAACACCGACCCAAGACAGCGAGGACAATCACAGTAAACATACGCACGTCTATCTATAATGCATATATGGATGGAAATACATGCTATCACTAACCCTGATATGAAATAGGACACATGAGCGTTGTACTGGCTGTGACACAAGCGCAGTGTGAGTGTCGGCACCACCCACTGTTGACGGTGCGTCTGTGATATCCATCTGTTTCTGGCCATGACTGGCTAACTGAAGGGAACCAATGGAGTGAGACCTGATTTGGTGTCAAACGGAGTGCTTGGATAAGGTAGTGTGTATGGATTTGGCGTGTGTGTGTTGGATCACGTACTACAGCTTATGGTGTTTACGTGCATCCTGGTGAGACGTTGTGCTAAGAGCCAGGTTTGAGTAAGAGTTGCTGTCCAGAATGGAAAGATGGGACAGGGAGCAGGTTATGCACAGGGGGGGAAAAATCTGTTAATGTTGTGACTAATCAAATGGACAGCTGTGATGTGATCTCATATCCATATGCCATCCCAAAATGTCTCACAATCGTGTTAAAGTGGAAAAATCAAGGACCATGTCCAAGGACAGCAGGTTTAACCTGCCATTGACTGAAATGTTGTTTTCCTCTTTTTAGCCTTATATTTCACCTTTAACGCTTTATTTCTCAAACTCAAAGTTTAGGGGTTTAATTGTTCAAGTCTTGATTTGTATGTGAGTGGTGCAGTGGAGGCTAATATAAAACCCCTCTCCTGACTGATAGAGTTCCCAGCTAGAGGAAAAGAAAAAGTAGGAATAATACAAATTAAAATTGAATGTCAAGTGATGAGGCATAGCTACTGCATGAATGACATCAAACAACTGGAAGTGTTGCTGTACAACCTAACACAGCCTGCACTTGATCACTCATGTGAGACACAATAAAATAATTGAAAGTGACAGCATGTGTAGTTAGACTGAACAAAAGACTTTAAGAAATTAAGAGTGTGATATTATCGGCTCCTGCGCTGCAAAATGTCACTTATATAAAGGCCTCTATTGGCAGGCAGGGCGAAGAGGGCGGAAATGTTGTCTGAAATGATGAATTGATCTCAGTTAACTTATGGACGCTGGAAAACCCAGAGGTTGTCATTTAATGATAAATGGACGTAATACTGAGCAACGGGGACAGCAAGTCAAGGACTTGGGGAGGGAGGCTTAACACATGATGGATGATAATCATGCATACTATGTGGCATTTAAGCAAGTGTGATGGGGTGTGTGTGTGTGTGTGTGTGTGTGTGTGTGTGTGTGTGTGTGTGTGTGTGTGTGTGTGTGTGTGTGTGTGTGTGTGTGTGTGTGAGAGAGAGAGGGAGAGAGGGGGAAGGGAGAGAGGGAGAGGGAGGGAGAGAGAGGGAGAGAGAGAGAGGGGAGGGAGAGGGAGGGAGAGGGAGGGAGAGGGGAGGGAGATCTTATATAAAATGTGTAAGTAAGGATGTGAAAACTGAATATCTGCAACAATAATTTTAGATTGCAGCGCATAGAGCAAAATACAAACAGAGCAGCATTTTTAGTATAACTCCATTATATTTTGTTATCTAAATATTAATAATTTTGATGTTTATAAATGAAATGCTAAATATGAAAATCGTGTTAACACCTATTGTAAATTATCCAGTGCCTCTGAAATCATCAATCACATCACGTTTTTAAACTTTTGTACAAAAACTTATATTTTTTGAGTGATATTCATTTGCAAAAAACAGAAGAAATGCAAGATAAAAAAGTAAACAACAAAATTGACTAATAGCATTATTAATAATAATTTTCACCACGATAATTTAGTGGTGGTAATCTGATGGTGAACGCTTTAATTGAAATGAACAAAGCTCTTCTGACTTTTAGTCTCCAGTAAAGCTACTGAAACACTGGACCCTCTGCCTGGGTAAATGTCCATTCCAATGTTTGTCACAGTGTTAAGTATCAAGACGAAAAGAAGATGATAATGAAGTGTTTGTCACAAAGATAACGTCATTAGAGTTCCGACATGGACTCCAACAATCTATATTTCCAGCAGCTCGCAAAAACTTCATCTATCCTGGATCGACTTATACTGTGTTACTGACTAAAGATGACACGAACATGAAAAAAGGTTTAACACGAGAGGCCAGATATGCAGCACTTAGTAACAGTGAAATAAATAAATCATCTGTGGTGGATAGGATCTTTCCTCAGTATGTTTTCAGAGCAGATGTTTGCTTTACATCATATCAGATCATGTTGCTGACAGTAGGAAGAACGGTAAAGTTTGTTTTGCATTCATTATGTCTTCAATATCTCCCATGGAGAGCTGTATTTTAATAAAGGAGCAGTGAGAACGAGTTGCTCACCGCTGCTGTCCCCGGTTCTTATGTCTGATGTTTGGGCCAGTGTAATCACCTCAGGGCGAAGATGACCAGCTCTGAATACTAATTTAAATCCGCAAGCTTTTTCACATTATTCATATTATGCATGTAGGTAATTACTCTTTACCAACAATCTTTGACGTAAGTGAATTAAAATGTCCCACAACACAAAAGGAAATAAGTCATTTTTAAATCAGGTGATGCAGCAGTCATCTTGCATTTTAAATACATTTGACTTTGTCTCATGTTTTTGAAGATTTATGAGAAATGTCACACTAGTGATTTTGAGTTTGTATTTGTAATTCCTTTATGTTAAATAAAGACAATAGATGCTGTGTAATTATATGTTTTTGTAATATAAACAAAATGGTGACGTTGAATTGAGCAGACGTCTGGATTATCCAGGCTCGTGGTGAATTTAACGATAACATGTGTAAAAAAGGGAAATCCTGTGATTGACAGTTACCATAGGAACAAGTTGACTGAAAAACACCAACTCTGCAAGTCATCACACTTCACGATATTTGTTTAGCTCTCATCTTATTCTTTGTTTAGAAAAGTATTCCAACATGATAATATATCTGATATGTTCATCTACTATGTGCTCTTATGAAGACATTGTTGTAAATTGTCAACACTTGGATGTGAAATCTGTTATAAGATAATGGAGTAAAAGTGAATATCAAGAATAGATAGGGAATCATCTGATAAAAGACAAAGTAAGTGCAGAGATGCTTTATTAAGATCTAATGTGTTACCTAAATCTGGTCTAGTTTCCTAACAAATTCAGAATATGATAAGCTTAGGGCATGAAAACAGTAATCTTCGATTTCAGAAGTGATGTCTAGTTGTGTTTGGGAGTCAGGTCTTTTAAATGTCCTCAAACAAATCAATGCTCAGAAGATGCAGCAGTCTGTTGGCACAAACACTGACTGTGTGTTTGTTCCTGTTCCAAATGATAATAGAAAAGTCACCTACAGTCGAAAAAATAAACCACCAGTGTGTCACTCACACCTCTCTGTTGCCAAACAGCTCACAGAAGCAAATCACCGTCACTGTGAAAAAGCTGTTTGAAACCAACAAAGGATCACGTCTGTCACTCACAGTTGCCAAATCTTATTAAAAACAAACAAACCAAATGTATGTGTCAGATTGAACAACGCTCACTTATACATCATAGCTTCACTCACCCGTCCCTGTTTTCATCGTCATCTGCGTTGGAGAGGAGCTGAGAGCCGGCCAGCGAGAGGTCCAGAGCCGCCAGGGGCAGATCTCTGTAGCCAAAACTCACCAGCTGGACCGGAGGAGCCAGATACTGGTTCTCATCCTCCACAGGCTGCGAGATGATCTCCAAGTCCGAAAGACCTGCCTGCTCCATTTCCCTAGACACATGCCAACACCAGCAACACGAAGACGAAATACAAACAAGCATGCAAGAAGAAAGAGGAGACAGAGAAGAGAAAAAAGCATACATTACTTCAAACAAAAAACACACATTTCTCAGATAAGTTCAGAGATGTTACTTCACATGTCTACAATGCATTTTTGAATAACCTGGAAGTAAGGAAGTAAAACCGAGCGAAAATGGCAGTAAATGACTTCATATTTGAAACAATAATGTTTGGCCAATACTTTAGATTGCATAAAGTGAGCATAATGCAAATAGTTTGTGCTTAATTGGTGTCATTTTGGTGGTTTTAAAGAAGCCATCCCTTTTAAGAAAACATGTGAGGGAAATAAAGAAATATACTAAATACTTTGAATGTCAAAATCCCAGTTGTGACATTTACTAATGATCATAAAAGCTGGATCACAGAGCAGAAGAAAAGGACAGAAAGGTTTGCTGAAGAACTGACTGTATGCTTATGAACACAAAAGCAGTGCAGATAAAAAAAAAAGACTAATTATTCTGCCGGGCAACTTCACTAAAAACACATTCTTATTTACAGTGATGGCCTCAGGGAGTGAGCAGGGAGTGAGCAGGGAGTGAGCAGGGAGTGAGCAGGGTCAGAGAGGGTTACACACAAACACCCACTCAGCACAGGGAGCTGCTGAGGACTCTCTGATGATGACCAGAGGAGATGCAGGTCTTTGCCTTCAAAGACACTGATTCCTGGGGGGAGTGTGTGTTTCTGCGACTGTCCACATTTTCTAAAGCAGCCTGAATATTTGAGTCGCGATCATCCAATAGAAAACTAACTTAATTAATAACAGCACAACACAAACAATTCAGATATGGATAGCCACAAACAATGATGAAGAGTAAGAGGAGGGTTAAGAAATAAACAGAAAACAGCAGCTTCTGTGATAATCTTATCTGTTTACCGCTGCTTTTCCACTGAGCTCATATTGCAACCATGTTTCCTCTTTTAGAAATTGTCTTGTTTTCCGTTTGTTTGCTATATAAAAACACTTACCTGTTATGTTAGTTTGTTATTTTTATCAACAAATGAAGAACCAACCTAACAAAGCTATGTATTTGTGGCAAAAAGTTTGTCCTTAGCTACAGTCATGTAAGCTAGTAAGCTAATGTTTGATAGCTATGACTTGGGGGAATTTCATTATAGTAGCACATACTCTTTACTCACTTGATTGTAATCGAAAATTAAGTGGGGTAAAATATAGTGAACATCATCACATTGTTTTGCTAGGTGAAAGGTGATTTTTTTTTATTTAGCCTTTATTTAGCCTTTATTTATACAGGTGTAAAATCTCATTGAGACACAAGGTCTCATTTGCAAGAAAGACCTGTCAGTGGTAACACTACCACACAAAGTTACAGACAGACAGGACACTAAACACAGAGGCAACAATAAAATACAACATCGTAAAAAAAGTAGTCATTGAAATCCATATAAAGTATTCAGATATAGCAGGTGCAAACACCCACAGATGATTTCTCCAGCTTTTTTTAAATTAGTTTAAAATCCGTGATGGGTATCAAACTGGTCAGCTTAAGTTCCTGCTGAAGTGTGTTCCAGGTCGAGGGGGCAGAGTATGATATGGCTTTTTTCCCAAGCACCGTGCGTACTGAGGGGACGGACAGAGTGATGTAATGTTGAGATCGTAGGCTATAGCTGTACTGTTTGTGTGATATGTAAGTGGATATGTCGAGGGGCAGCAGTCCAAGCATAGCGGTATAGATGAGTTTGTACCAGTGCAGTGATCTGCGCATTGATCATTTGAATCCCATTTGAAATTTGGTCAACATCTAGTTTATACACCTGACAAAAGTGACTGAAATACAACTTGAAATGATAGTACTTAACATCCTTGGAGGAATATATGTACAGTATGCCCCATGTTGTTGGGGAAAAATTGAAAAACAACAAAACAACCCGTTTCTGGTTTCTACTTGTTTCAATTATACCTTTAAAAAAAACACGGTTAAAGAGTACCTTGGTTAATTTAAACACTTAAAAATAAACAGGTCTGTTTAAGTTCTATTTTAATCCCTCATAATGTCAATGCATTTTTTGTCAATATTTTTCATGTAGGGTGGGGTAGGTAAGTTTGAGAAACCGGCTCGAGATACACTTTTTGTTATATTCCATGGAATGCTCTTAACATCCCGATAGCAATGAATATCTTAAGTGCTTTGACAAAAAATCCATTAAAAAATGTCATCTGTGGAAGCCGTAGTACTGTAAAAAGCACGACCAATCATTTTAGCCGGCCCGGCTAAAATGACTGGATGGCCTACCTGCCTGTCAGCCTTCCATCTGTGCACAAACTTATCTCATGCCCTCATTGGTCATGTGCGCGTTCGTGTGTGTTGGAGAAGGGGCTCTGTAAGGAAGTGGCAGATTTCTTCCGGTTGTGTATTTTCAAATTCTAGCGCACTCGAGCTGGTTTCTCCAAAATTACCTACCCCACCTTTAAAGGTGTTATATGAATATAACAAAAAGTGTTTCTGAATTAAATTACATACCCCACCTTTAAGTAAGTGATCTTTAGGAGGTATTTCAACAAGATTAGTAATGTAGTAGTAGTAGTTGTTGGACGTTAATCTAATAACTATGGCAACGTTTATTTGTGTTTGTACCAGCAAACCTCCACCCTAAAACCCCCGGAGTCCCTTAACCTTAATATCCAAACACATGAAGACTCAGTTGTGGGCCAGCATCACGTAACCCGGCGTGCCCACAAGCCCCAGTTGTTTAAAAGCTGGGCCATCTCAGTGGAGCGTGGAGGTTGAAACAAATGCTGAGTGCAGCTGCAGACTCTGTGTGTGTGTGTGTGTGTGTGTGTGTGTGTGTGTGTGTGTGTGTGTGTGTGTGTGTGTGTGTGTGTGTGTGTGTGTGTGTGTGTGTGTGTGTGTGTGTGTGTGTGTGTGTATTTTTAGACCAGAGCAGATGCTGGTGTATCATGTCTGTTGTGACGTCATTGCCTCTCTCTTTGTCAGCTGAGTGGATCCCCACTCTTATTCAAACGTCAAAGGAAGTCAGGAAAAGGGTGAATGGGCATGGGAAAGTAGAGCAACAGTGGGAGAAAAGGGGGGTGGATATCAGGGGTTATACAAGAACAACAGGGGAGGGTAATAATGACAAAAGGAACTGTGAACAATAAAAAAAGAGAAGATTGATAAAAAAAATAAAAATAAAAGGTCACAAAATAAAAATGTATGAAAGAGACAGGAGGAAATAAGATTGATCATAGATTGGGCAAAGTGAAGAAGAAAGTAGAAGTACACTTTTCATTTCTGAATTCTTCACTTCCTCTCCTTTCTTTTCCTACAGTCATTTTCAAACTGTCGTGACAGAGAGCACTGAGTGCCCTTCAATATTCTGAGGGAAAATCACGCTCTCTGACGGACAGGCATACCTTTAGGAAAGGACAGACAGGTAAACAGACAGGAAAGGGAATATAGATATGCAGGGGGATAACAGATAACCCCCAACACACACACACACACACACACACACACACACACACACACACACACACACACACACACACACACACACACACACACACACACACACACACACACACACACACACACACACACACACCACACACACACACACACACACACACACACACACACACACACACACACACACACACACACACACACACACACACACACACACACACACACACACACACACACACACACACACACACACACACACACACACACACACACACACACACACACACACACACACACACAGATAATGTCAACGCTAAAGGACCTTTGATGCGATCTTGTGTGACCTGAGCTGTTAGAGGGCAATGTGTGGTTTTTGTGTGTGTGTGTGTGTGTGTGTGTGTGTGTGTGTGTGGTGTGTGTGTGTGTGTGTGTGTGTGTGTGTGTGTGTGTGTGTGTGTGTGTGTGTGTGTGTGTGTGTGTGTGTGTGTGTGTGTGTGTGTGTGTGTGTGTGTGTGTGTGGTGTGTGTGTGTGTGTGTGTGTATGAGGACAGTCTGTTATGGGAATAATGGAGACTTCCACAAAGCCACCAATCTTATCTTATCTGATCTTAACTCATGACTCTGTGACCGTACCAGCCAAATGTAAAAAATCTATTGAAGAACATATAATATATTAATTATCTGTTATGTTTAATTAAGAAGGCTATGTAACTAACAAAGCAACTAATTTCCTTATTTGGGATAAATAAAGTATATATCTATCTATCTAAAGCTACAAATATGCAAAACTCATTCAACCGGCTCATGTTGCTAAAATGACCCAAACCAGCAGTAAAAGGTATCAAAAGAATATCTATTGTAACTGTAACCTGAAATCATAATAAAGCACAGCACATTAAACCAAACAAGTGAACAAATGGAGAGTTTGTGAGATGAAAAGCAACAGAGCATGACTATAAGAAAAAAAGGCACCAGCTGTAGTTATGTTAGCGCAATATATCCACTGAACACAACATCCAAATGATTGAGTCACAGCCATTGTAGGCAGGTGTATCCTAACAAACTGTTTCAGGTGAGTAAGCATGTGCCCATCGCCGGCAAAGACCTGGAGCTGATCTCAAACTCTTTGTCCCACATACATTCTGTATGAACAGTCCAGATGTATCTAGTTATTTATGATTAAGTGGATTTCTCACTTTAAGCAAATCAAATTAAACATTAGTTGACGTGGTTGAAGCAGATTGAAAGAAAGTTACAACACAAAGGTTATTTAATATCAAAATAACTACAAGAATACTTTACAGTCTAATGATTTTTCACTCTGATATAGTGATGCGAGTTAAGAGTGAAAGCTTCTTTTCAGAATTGAGGTACAGATCCCAAGAGTAGTCTATAATCACTGCATGTATAGCATACAACAGCATGTCCCTTTGTTTTTTTATTAATAAAAACCCTCTGTTTTCAAGGAGAAGCGTTATTGCAGTGTAGTCTGGAGAGTTGCTG